CTCGGTGCATTTGTACTCTTTGCCTGGGACACGACTACTTGGACAGCTGTGTGATTTCACAATTTGGTTTTATGTATGTCGCTCACACTCATATTCCTTGCAATTTGGTATCGGAGCTGGTTGGTGATCGTCGCTTACCTGGCACCGAGGACATTGTGACTTGGTGCACTGACGATGCTTCATGTGCTGGTTGATGAGCGGGGCCTAGGTGGAGATGAGAGTATGCTGACGTGGCATTTTGGCTGAGGTGGCACTGCATTGCATTGTGGGTGGTACCGAGGCTATTGACCGGTCCTCGAAATGCACGTCGGCCCAATTGGTGAGAAATCTGTGGTTGGGGGCAGCTATCTCCAGGTACGTTGTTCCCATTCCTTATCTACCCTCTCAATCTCTTCTTACTGTGAGGAAGTGAGTCCAACTTGAGTGTCCTCTCTTTGGTGAGGAGTCGTGTGTGCTCTATCTTGAGAGACGACATTCTTCCCGGTGGAGCATCTGGCAGGAGAGGGCGGTGCCTCTGAAGGGCCCTGGCCGAAGCACGGGTCACGGTCACCATGCCAACCCGTGGGTATTAGTACACGCAGGCCATGCTGCTTTGTCCATTGAGGCTCTTTGCTGCACTGATAGAAGGGGTGTGCGGACTGACCAGTCCCACGTAGACGCTCCCAGACCGTCTATAAACATTTCTGGTTGGGTTGGGGACTGAACTGTCCACTGGTTGTGATCGTTGAGCGTCCCATATGAAAGTTTACATAGAATTTGAAAAATTGAGATACCGGGGCCATTACCCGGCTGTGGCTCAGAAAAAAATGGAGCTGCTTAGGAAATGACTATGACAAGCTTCAAAAATAAGCAGAACGACTAAAAAAAAACGCCCGTGAATCCTCTTTACCTCACTCCGGCAAGACTTACTTTAGCAGAGCCACCATCTCCACTGCTGCTATACCCTATTCTCATCCTACCAGCTAGCCCCCTCACTAGTAGGACGCGTGATATCCCACCATCTCCTTCTCCCACTCACCTCGTTCTCTTTTTGAGATACCTAAGAACACTAGTAATTCGGGAGTCATGGGAATAGACCGCGGAGGTCCTACAAATGCTCCGAAAACCTCGAAATCCCTAACAAACCCTTCCAAAGTTCTCCAAAACTGTCTTACTTCCTGCTGAGCTCCTTCAGGCCTCACACCCCCACATCCTGCTAGGTTACAGGGCAACACAACTCACCCCAGCTCCGACCAGCGTCGTCCCGGCAGCAACCCTTGGTTGTCCCGTGGAATGCCCACCCCAAAGCATCCCCAGATCTCTCTACCAGGCCTCACGCTCCTGCATCTGCAGGTTACAGGGCAACACCCCAGCACCGGCCAACGTCGTTCTGGCATCGAACAGCTGCAGATCACTAAGTATAACAGGCGTCGAAGCCACCTAGGACGAGTTGATAGGGATCCAAAAAAGTCCTAAAAACATTCTAAGGACCACCAAACGGCCAACCTTTTTTTTTTTTTTTTAAGCTTAGAAAATTATGAGAGCGGGGGGTCGAATGAAACTGCCTACTATCCTAAACTTCCCCCCTCTACAAACGGAACGTCGGTCCAGGCTTTCAGTCCTCGTACCAGAACTCACTTGATCTCATACCCCCTTCTGCTTGGGTAACAAGGCACCACAACCCTCCCCGGTACCGACCAACCTTTTTTTTTTTTTTTTTTTTT